GGCGGGCGCCGGGGGGGGGGGGGGGGGGGGGGGGCGGCGATCCAGCGCCAAGCCAGGGAGGGGAGGAACATCGGAACAGCCACCGGCCTGCCCTCATTTAGTGGGGAGAGGAATCATCACAGAGGTTTCCCACCGAGAAATAGTAATTAACTCCCTGCCAGCCTGATAAATCCCAGGGCTACAGCGGGTTTACGCAGCCCCCTTGGCGGGGCTGCCTGGTGTTTCCAGGGAGGAGGGGCGCAGGCGGCAGGAGAATCGAGGTCAGCGCGTTCCCCATGCAGAGCGCGGAGCAGCCAGGCTCAGGGCCGCCAAATCATCACAGAGGTTTCCCACCGAGAAATAGTAATTAACTCCCTGCCAGCCTGATAAATCCCAGGGCTACAGCGGGTTTACGCAGCCCCCTTGGCGGGGCTGCCTGGTGTTTCCAGGGAGGAGGGGCGCAGGCGGCAGGAGAATCGAGGTCAGCGCGTTCCCCATGCAGAGCGCGGAGCAGCCAGGCTCAGGGCCGCCACAGCGCCCAGGAGCGGCCTTTGGCAGTACCACGCTGCCGCCAGGCAAGGCCCACGAGCCACAGCGCCCAGGAGCGGCCTTTGGCAGTACCACGCTGCCGCCAGGCAAGGCCCACGAGCCACAGCGCCCAGGAGCGGCCTTTGGCAGTACCACGCTGCCGCCAGGCAAGGCCCACGAGCCACAGCGCCCAGGAGCGGCCTTTGGCAGTACCACGCTGCCGCCAGGCAAGGCCCACGAGCCACAGCGCCCAGGAGCGGCCTTTGGCAGTACCACGCTGCCGCCAGGCAAGGCCCACGAGCCACAGCGCCCAGGAGCGGCCTTTGGCAGTACCACGCTGCCGCCAGGCAAGGCCCACGAGCCACAGCGCCCAGGAGCGGCCTTTGGCAGTACCACGCTGCCGCCAGGCAAGGCCCACGAGCCACAGCGCCCAGGAGCGGCCTTTGGCAGTACCACGCTGCCGCCAGGCAAGGCCCACGAGCCACAGCGCCCAGGAGCGGCCTTTGGCAGTACCACGCTGCCGCCAGGCAAGGCCCACGAGCCACAGCGCCCAGGAGCGGCCTTTGGCAGTACCACGCTGCCGCCAGGCAAGGCCCACGAGCCACAGCGCCCAGGAGCGGCCTTTGGCAGTACCACGCTGCCGCCAGGCAAGGCCCACGAGCCACAGCGCCCAGGAGCGGCCTTTGGCAGTACCACGCTGCCGCCAGGCAAGGCCCACGAGCCACAGCGCCCAGGAGCGGCCTTTGGCAGTACCACGCTGCCGCCAGGCAAGGCCCACGAGCCACAGCGCCCAGGAGCGGCCTTTGGCAGTACCACGCTGCCGCCAGGCAAGGCCCACGAGCCACAGCGCCCAGGAGCGGCCTTTGGCAGTACCACGCTGCCGCCAGGCAAGGCCCACGAGCCACAGCGCCCAGGAGCGGCCTTTGGCAGTACCACGCTGCCGCCAGGCAAGGCCCACGAGCCACAGCGCCCAGGAGCGGCCTTTGGCAGTACCACGCTGCCGCCAGGCAAGGCCCACGAGCCACAGCGCCCAGGAGCGGCCTTTGGCAGTACCACGCTGCCGCCAGGCAAGGCCCACGAGCCACAGCGCCCAGGAGCGGCCTTTGGCAGTACCACGCTGCCGCCAGGCAAGGCCCACGAGCCACAGCGCCCAGGAGCGGCCTTTGGCAGTACCACGCTGCCGCCAGGCAAGGCCCACGAGCCACAGCGCCCAGGAGCGGCCTTTGGCAGTACCACGCTGCCGCCAGGCAAGGCCCACGAGCCACAGCGCCCTCAATAAGCTAAAAAGAACAACAAAAGCCATTTCATATTTACAATTCCACATTCTTGGGTGAGCAGATTTAACTTCAAAGCAGGCAAAAAAAAAAAAAAAAAAAAACC